TGTGGAGTAAATGGAAATCTCATATAAATTGCTTGTAGAAAAATGGAATGGTGTAGCCACTTTGGAAAATAGGTTGGCAGCTTCCTATATAGTTAACCATGTACTTTTCATATGATATACTTATTCCATTCTTGCTTATTTAGACAAGGAAAGAAAATGTATTCACACAGACACTAGTACATGGATTTTTTTTTAGCAGTTTTATCTCTAATATCAAAAATCTGGAAACAATCCAAATGTCTGTCAACTAATAAATTGGAAAATATTTACCATATAATGGATTATTATTCAGTATTCAGAAAGAACAAATTATTGATACACATGGCAACATGAATAAATCTCAAAGACTTCTTAAAAAACAAGAGATCCTAGTTAGTCAGCCTAGACTCCATGTTATATAATTCCATTTATGTAAAATTCTAGAAATGGCAAAACTATCATTGCAGAAAGCAGATTAGTTGTTGCCAGGGTCTATGGTTAAAGGGAAGGAATTCATGCAAATAGGCACAAGGAAAATTTTGGGAGTGAGGGCATTTACATATCTGTTTATATTTATAAAAAATGATCAAAATACTTCAAATCATTAAATTTTATTTTATAAATTATACCTCAAAAAGGTGATTAAAAATATAACTAAAATATCTGCGTGAAAAAAAAGAACCTAAACACAAATCTAATAACCTTCATAATAATTAATTCAAAATAGATCATAATCCTAAATGTAAAATGCAAACCTAGAACACTTAGAAAATAATGTAGGAGAAAATCTAGACAACCTTGGATTTGGTGGTGACTTTTTAGATACAACATCAAAGGCATGATCCATGAAAGAATAACTGATTGTCTGGAATTTATTAAAATTAAAAAAAAAAAAAAGTTCTGCTCTGCTTAAGATACTGTCAAAGGAATGAGAAGACAAGCCTTAGACTGGTAGGAAATATTTGCAAAATCCATATCTGCTGAAAGGCTGTTATCCAAAATATACAAATAATACTTAAAACTGAACAATAAGAAAATAAGTAACCTGATTAAAAAATGGGCCAAAGCCCTTAATAGACATCTTTCCAAAGAAGATATACAGATAACAAATAGATATGTGAAAATATGCTCAACTCATATGTTAAAACAGCAATGTGATATCACTACACATCTTTTGAATTGGCAAAAATCCAAAACACTGACAATACCAAATGTTGAAGAATGTGGAACAACAGGAGTATCCATTCATTGTTGATAGTAATGCAAAATGATACAGTCATTTTGAAAGACCATTCAACCATTTCTTCTAAAACTAAACATGTTCTTACCATATAATCCAGCAGTAACAGTCCTTGATATTTGTCCAAATTAATTGAATTTTATGTCTAAACAAAAACTTTCACATGGATCTTTATACTTGCTTTATTCATAATTGCCTAAACTTTTAAGCCACCAAGATTCATAATTACCAAACTTGGAAGCAACTTCAATAGATGAATGGATAAATAAATTGTGGTAAATCTAGACAATAGAATATTATTCAATGCTAAAAAGAAATGAGCTATCAAGGTATGCAAAGACATGGAGAAACCTTAAATGAATATTACTAAGTGAAAAGAACCCAATCTGACTCATACTGTATCATTCCAACTATATGACATTCTGGAAAGCCCTATATGTATGTGTGTGTATGTATCTAAGTATGTGTTTGTGTGTGTGTGTGTGCGTGTGTGTGTGTGTGTGTGTGTACAGGAAGTCACGGAACAGGGAGGGACTTCCTGCTTACTTAGGGAAGGTTGAATCTTTTTGTTCTATTCAGGTCTGCAATTGATTGGATGCGGTCCACCTACATGAGGGAGGTCCATCTATTTGACTCAGTCTGCTGATACAAATGTTAATCGGCAAACACCCTCACAGACACACCCAGAATAATGTTTGACCAAATGTCTGGGCACTCTGTGGCCCAGTCAAGTTGATACATGAAATTAACCATCACATAGGACAATAGAAGCTCTGCTGCTATGGAGATTTCATTTTATTTTAGGATCCAGAGTGAAAGAGTAGAATCTTTCTAAGACTCAGAAGTATTGAGGCATAGGGAAAAGGCAAAAGAACTGGCAAAGCCACACAATCTCTGATAAAGCTTTTGTTCTGACTTTGAATACTGGCTACTCTTCCTACGTTTTATTGGCTAAAACAGGTAACACGGTTAAGCTGATGTACATTTTTTTAAATATTCTATTTACGTGAGAGAGAGAGAAGGCACATGAATGGGGGGAGGGGCAAGAGGAGTGAGTGAAGCAGACTCCCCACTGAGCAGGGATCCCAATGTGGGCCTCAATTCAAGGACCCGGAAATAGTGACCAGATGGTTAACCAACTGAACCACCCAGGTGCCCCAAGCTGCTGTAAATTCTTTGCAAGTATACTTATAGGTCACATGAGAATGAATGCTGATAAATAATCCTCCTATGGGGGACAGGGAAATGGAAGAATGTAATTCATTCTATTATATTATCTTCAAGGACTCAAAAAGATCAAAATGTCCTATGATTTTCAAATCCAAAATAGATAGCAAAATACTTCAGCATTATATGATCTTTATCCATTTTGTTGACTTTTTTGAATTTGACAAAGCTGAAATAATGACACAATAAATTTGTTAAAAATAATTTATTGACAAAAAATTATGGTATCATTTAGAATATAAAATAGAATCATAAGAGGTACAAAATTATGGTTCTTGACTTACTCTTCATTCCCATTTTTAAATGATTCACTATCATGTTAAGAAATACTATGCTACTTGTTTTCCTACCACAGTTGGCACAGGGGAATTTTGCTGTGAAATGTGTCTATTACTCTAATTCTGGTGAAAAGATAGAGACTCCATTAACTGCAGTATCATAGGTACTTATGAACAAAAGCAGAGTATCACCACATTTAGTTCATCCAGGTTGTCTATATCTCATAACGGTTATCCTTGGAATATATGTAAGACCAGAATCTGTTGGAAAATGTTATATGAGGTCCACTTTTAAAACACGTTGACTGAATGAGTTGCTTCAAATTTCAACATTCCACTTCTGTAATCAGAAAATAATATGTGATGGGGACAATTCATTATTTTTCTTCACTATTTCTCTGTTTTATTTTGCCAGCATCTTTTGTAGCTAGATTTGGTGCTGTCACTAATGGAAGTAGAGGTGACATGAACTATTGTCAGGCCAGTAAATGCTGGTTTTCCTTCACTTCCTTCTTTCTGCCATCTCAGTGTATAGAAGATGATGACAACTGGACCAACCACCAACATTATAGCTAGAAAGAAAAAGTAGAAATTCACCTTTCTAATAAGAATGAGAGATCTTTATACAAACCTGAGTCCCTGGGTGTTTTTATAGAGCAGATTTGACTACCTGCCCTGGACTGCTCATTTCCTCTGAATATTTTGTGAGAGACAAATTGAAACAAAAACAAAAACAAAAACAAAAAACCTATCTTATTTAAATTGCTATGTTTTTGCATCTCTTTCACAATAGCTTAGGCTATATATAACTAATTCATAGACAGATGTGGAATCTGGTATCACATGTGACAGTTAAAATTGGTTACTTGGACAGAATCTACCAAACGGTCAAGAGCTGGTAACAGTGGCTCCTGACGTGACTGCCTATCTCACCTCTCCTACCATTATTTTGGGTCTTTGTGACTCTTGATGGTTCCTTGGCAGTCTACGGTCAAAAGTTATTATCACACACAGATTTAATCAAATACTTCCAAAATGAAATAATTTCTAAAGTCAAAGATTACATTTCTTTAATTACAAAAGAGAAACTTGAATTAGTTTCTTTATCTTTTAGCCAAGACCCTAGTGGTTCAGATTGATCACTTTTGACTCTTAAAAAGGCTTTTGCCCCAGATTTAATATTCCTAGATTTTCTCATTATTGTGCATGTGAAGTGTTGCTCATGCTATTTAATGCTGGTAAAGGTGGTTAATAAAATAGAGGTTCCTTAAAATTGGAACCATGTGCTAGTTTGATAAGGCCAGGGAGATCTAATTCTGTCATTATTCGGGGAAGATCTTCCATGATTTCTAAACAAAGTCAATGTCCCGGCATTCCATTTTCTATCTTCCATGGGGTCTAGAGTGGGAATTCTGCCTTTGAATTACTAGAGAATTTATTTCTCGTGATGACTTTCTGTGAGTTAGGTTATGAGCCAGCTTATCTGCATATTGAGGCTTCTCTTTCCTTTTCTAATAACAACAGATTTTTTTTTTTTAAGATTCTATTTACTTATTTGACAGAGAGAGATCATAAGTAGGCAGGGAGGTAGACAGAGAGAGAGGAGGAAGTAGGCTCCCTGCTGAGCAGAGAGCTCGATATGGGGCTCCATCCCAGGACCCCGGGATCATGACCGAGCCGAAGGCAGAGGCTTATCCCACTGAGCCACCCAGGTGCCCCAACAACAGAATTTTTAAGAATAGTGGGTCATATCATCAGTTTCAGGAGAAAATATGTTTACTTTCTTCTCCCAGCCAGGAGCTGTTATTGCACCTTTCTAGTTGGATCTCAGATGAGACTTTTACAGAAAGAATTAAAAATAGAAGAAGAAAAAAGAAAGGAAACATCATTCCCAAAGTTTCTTTGACCTTTAAGGGAAATGAATGGCACTGAGAGGAGTTATAATGAACACTGGCTCCAGTGTTGTGACATTTCTATTACCTCATTGTTTGATAATTTCTCTCTACCCTGTTCAAATGATGTCTGCAGTTTGCTTTTCCCATTTTTCACCTTGTGATTTATCCGGTGTTATTGAGGACTCAGTCTGTTTACTGTAACTGTGTTTTTATTATCCTTGTCTAAGGATGACTTTATGATTATGAGTTCCCTCTGAGTCTGCTCTAAATTCTTTGTTGCTAGCATTCTACGACATTACTTTAACTCATAATGTCTTACAGTATACTGCTGGATATATTGCCATACAAACAGTGTACAAATTTATTTCTTTCCCTCCTCAGATTTTAATTCAGCAATCAACTGTCTTGGGGAGCGGTTTACTCAGTACAGCAAATGAAGGAGATATAGATCCAATAACCAAATATGGCTGGTAAGAAAATTCCACAGAAACAGAAATATTACACATTTATAGTGTTTTTGCACTAGTAGACTCTGGGAATTTTCATTTGTTTTGTAAATGTAAAGATAAACCTGAAGGCTATCTTAAAATATATTGCACCCTGGACATCTTAATGGGATATGAATGCAGAGCTGTCAAGCTATGCTTACAAATAATGTTATTTCCCAAACAATTTTATTTTAGGGATTTGTACACTATTTTTCCTGAACAAATATGTGGATTAAGCCAAGGTATGTCAATAAGTGCTGGGGAAATGTCTTATGGATATGAACACATTATCTGATAAAAATTCATATGTGACTGCTTGCTCACGGCTGAAGATACAGATAGGCCAAAGATCAGTGAAGAGGAAACAAATCCAATCCTATGCATTAGGATTCCACACCATAGTGAGCTCATACCTAATACACCAAAACAGCCCAGTAATGTTTTAAAAAAAAAATCTGAAATTGCATTTATGATCAGTGAGAGCTGGGGTCTCATAGAAATAATTTTGACCTTAAAGGAACTGGTGTAGACCTGCTTGTCATTTTGCCTGGAAAAATACCCATTCATCTTTTCCTGTCTTTTTTCTTTTTTTAAAGATTTTTCTTTTGTTGTTGTTGTTCTTTGCCAGAGAGAGAGACAGCACAAGCAAGGGGAATAGCAGGCAGAGGAGAAGCAGGCTCTCTCCACTGACAAGGGGCCTGATGCGGGACTCCATGCCAGGACCTTGGGATTATGACCTGAGCCAAAGGCAGACACTTATCTGATGGAGCCACCCAGGTATCCCTCATCTTTTCTTGTCATAAGTGTATTTATTAATCAGGATGATAGGAAAACTATTCCAAGTCAGAGTATCCTGGCTTAGAATATTTCAGACCTCCTCCCCCAACTCTGGAAGGCTGACTAGTACCTTGTTTGAGAGCATACCATCTGAGATTAGACAGCTAATCAGGGTTTAAATCCTACTCTGCCAATCTCTCTGGCTAGCTATGACCCTGCTAGGGTCTTCAGAACAGGATGGGGATAATAATGGAACCTGCCTCAGAGATATTGTGTGAAGCATTTAGCACAAATTAGAAGAGGAATGGTGGTGCCTAGAAAATGGTTGCTTTCACCAGTGAGGCTGCTTGTCTAGTAAAGCAACACATTCCTGTCTCTCTTACACCTTGGTACACATCCAGACCTATTGAAATACCATGGGTAGAATAATATGAGATTCCTTTTTACACTTGGGAATATTCTCCCTCCCACTTTCTCATCTGTAGGGCTCACTCTGTTGGATGGCCAAAAGACTGGTGGCCCAATATTTGTAAGACTCAAGACCTATGTACCTTTCAGAATTGTTAAGATTGGGCATTAATTATATATTGATGAAAAAGAATCTTAATTTTCTGAACTTTAGAAAGGGAAAAATGAACTTATTATATATCTAGTGATAGAGGAAGTGTGATTAAAAATAATGAATAATATGATTTCCTTTGACTAATTTGAAAAACGAATTTTCAAACTACATCGGATCAAAGTAGTGTGCAGATTATTGAAATAAGTTATTAGGGGATGCTGTAAAGAGAAAAGAACAAGTAATACAAAAAGAATTGCTTACTTCATTTATATTTTGGAAAGGTGCAGAGCTTCTAAAATAAGCACAAAATCAGTCTTGGCAAAGATGATATTAACCTAATAACAAATAAGGTTTCACTTTTCAAATCAGACTCAAGGTTTCCAAATTCATCTAAGAAGATTTAAACTATGGTTTTATAATGATAAGATGAAATAGATAAAGTTACTTGAGAGAGTATCTAAGGGAATTAGTAGTTGGGTGTTGGAAAAAAAGCAGATTAATAATGTATAAGTGCTCTGTACTTAATTAGTGAACAAACTGATAGTTCAGGTTATTCTTATTTCATGAGAATATTGCTTTATCTAAACTTAAAGTGGTAGCAATTATTATTTTTTTTTTTTTGTTAAAGGCCTGGAAATTATTATTTGCTTTTAGAAAAAACTGTCTGGATAATGTATCCACAATGTACAAAATTTAAAAATGTGCCCCAAAGTGAATAGTGTAATGCATATCTCTTCATAACCTCATCTACATTTTTCCTCCCAAAGGAAACCTGGTCCTAGTTTTGCTTCATTTACTTAGATACATTTTAGATCCTCCCCTGACATAGTGCTAGGCATCGGGTTCAAGACTTATCGTTTCACCTGTGTGCCATTTGAAACTGGCATCAGGATTTTTTTCATATCAACATTCAGTGTTGGGGAAGTTAAGACCCTCTCCTGGTATTATAGGTGTAGTATAAGACTTGCAGTTGACCAGAATAGATTTCCTTAGTTACTGGGCTATGGCCAATTGCCAGGAAAACTTTTGTGTGACAATATCTTAGGAAGAGGACAAGCTTCAAAGTATTAATCTTGAATCAGTTAACTCATCTCTCAGAGTCTTTGCTTTGTTATTATTTTTTATTATGATGCCCTTCCTTCAGTTTTCCATCTAGTAAATTGTCAGTAACCACTTTTGGGCTTGAACCCAAACACCATGAACTTCAGTTGATTCTTGATGAACTCAATAATGAGAAATACCCCCTCAAATATATTCTTGTAGTACATCATATTACTTGCCATTTAAACTACCTACATCTATTTATACTATATCCTTACACTGATATATTTGTATATACTCCTTTGGTAATCTCATTCATGTTCCATTGATATTCTGTCGCCTGTGAGATATACTCTTTCATCCCAGAACTGTTCTTTTAACCCCAGACCTATATATCTAATGGCCTACTTGATTTATCCACTTGAAAATAATAATTACCTTCCTGAATCTGGAAGTTGACTTCTCTAACTGGCTTTTATCAACTTGGGAGAGCTTTGTAGCCAACCTGAAAAACAAACAAACAAACAACCTCTAGAGATCACTGAGTTTTTACAAGTCTGCTAAGACTTATAGTTCTTAATTGGGCCTTAACTCTTTTTGAATGAAATTATTTTTCTGTTGCTATCATATTTTGGGTTGGTAACATTAAAAATAAAAAAGCCAGTTATTTTACCAGCAAAATAGGTTTATTCAGGAATAGCAGAGAATTGAATTTGGGACACACACGCTATGGCAAAACCATAGACAAGTCCAACAAAGGAGAAGCATATTATTTTGTTAAGAAGGAGGAAGCTGGGAGGCGTTGTTTTGAATGAAAGTCCATTGGAGAAAAAGCAAGAGGAGTTCAAGGTGATGACAGTTGCTCATTGGCTGATTTGGGGGAGTAGTCCATCTCTTATAGGAGATACAATGTATATCTTTTCCTCTTGGGACCTGTAGCAGGTGATTCTTTCCTGCTAAGGACTCTTCTGCTACGGTTTGTAATTAACAACTCATCCTGTGATCAATGTGGAGTGGTACAGAGTGAGAGCTCCCCCTTCTGGCCTCCCAGCTCTTTTAAAATGAGCTTTTCCCTTTATAATTTTCACAGGGTTAATAAATATTGTCCATTTCTAATTTCAGGATGTCATCATACTAATCTTCAGATTACTAGATTGATTTATAAATTAGTCCCTTTGTATTAACATTAAACATACAAAAGTTTATGTTCACTTTAGTTGTGCCATTTAGGAACTCATGGATTTCAGGAATACCTACTCTGGTTTTTGTTATCCAAATGCAAGAGGTCAGATTTTTTTTTTTTTTTAAGATCTTATTTATTTATTTGACAGACAGAGATCACAAGCAGGCAGAGAGGCAGGCAGAGAGAGAGGAAGGGAAGCAGGCTCCCTGCTGAGCAGAGAACCCGATGCGGGGCTCGATCCCAGGATGCTGGGATCATGACCTGAGCTGAAGGCAGAGAGGCCTTAACCCGCTGAACCACCCAGGCGCCCCGAGGCCAGATCTTTTTATCTCTTCTTGTAAGAGCAATGTACTCCTTTCCATTCTCACTCATAATTTTGGGGGTCTATCAATCTCTTTTTTATGAATTCATTATTTCTATCTTGGACTATGGTGCAAATTATTCCCAGATATAGACTTTTTGCTTAATAAAATAATAAATTACATGTTTCCCTTTGGTTTACTTCATTGTTTTAATGATATCTAACAGTTTGGATTTTTAGTGGACTTCTTATTCCAGAAGAAATATATATATAACATAGAAAAATCTATAGCTGAGCTTCCTCAATAGCGTCTCATAACTCACTTTTTAAAAACACCTATATGTAAAAGCCTTAATTAAGATATAATTTACATACCATACAATTAACCTACTTAAAGTACACTATTGGATGATTTAACTGTATTTACAGAATTATGCAACAACCACTATAGTCAAATTTGGAACATTTTCACGACCACCACAAAAATTAATCCTGCACCCTTGAGAAGTCATTTCCCATTTTCCTACAAAGCACCCACTTCCTAAGTTCTAGACAATCACTATTCTATTTGTGATTCTAGTTATTTACCTATTCTGAAAATTTCATCTAAATGGAATCACATAGTATATGGTCTTTTGTGACTGGCTTCTTTGATAGCATAACGTTTTCAAGATTCATTCATGTTTTGACATGATTTTTTATATACCAAAGCATGTTATCTGAAAATAAAAATAACTTATTTTCCCTTTCTAGTCTGATGATTTTTATTTAATTTTCTTGACTAATTGCCCTGGCCAGGATCTTTAGTACAATGTTGAGTAGAAGTAATGAGAGCAGACATCCTTGCATTATCTCTGGTCTTACAAGGAATGCATTCAGTCCTTTGTCATAAAGTGTTATCTTACTTGTGAATTTTGTAGATGTCTTTCATCATATTGAAGAAGTCCCCATCTGTTACCAATTTTTCAAATAGATTTATCACTAAGTGAGGTTTGATTTTGTCAAATATCTTTCTCTGCATCTATTGAAAAGATCATGTGGGTTTTATCCTTTCTTTTATTGATATAGAACCTATCAAGATATATATGATTTTAATTGGGTGCATATATAATATAGTTTTTATATATTTCTTGTGGAATAAAGATTTTTTCATTATAATACACACTATCTCTAGTAACTTTTTGTTCTATTTTGTCTGATATTAGTCTAGGCGTTCCCAGCTCTCTTACAGTTTTTGTTTGCATGATGTACCATTTTCTAACCTCTATTTTCAGTCTATTTGTATCTTTCAACCTAAACTGTGTCTTCCGTAGGCAGGGTGGTGATATAGGAGTTTCCTACCATTATCTTCCCGCAAAACATCGATTTTGACAAGCACTCACGCATGAGACTACCTATGTAGGAATCTGGGAGTCTAGAAGAGAGGTTCCAGCACATGGTTTCCCTTAACATTTATATTAAATTGTTTTGTCCTCAATCCTACATAGTACAAGAGATCAAGCCTTTCTTTCCTTTGACCCATATTTTTACATGTCTAGAAGTTTATTTCAAACTTTCTGAAGAGATTGATTTCATTTCTCATGGTCATAACTAATCTCTTCTCTTTCTTCTTCTTCCTCCCCTCCTTCTTCTTTTCACTTCAACTGAATTCTCTATCTTACTTTTTTCTTAATTCTACTTTTTTCCCTGTCCATTATATGTGCTGCATTTTCTAGGTTGGATGTTGTCTCGATTTTTTCCTTTCACCAAAATATCTCTATCACAAAAGTGTTTGCATGTAGTGTGTGTGTGTGCACACA